CTTTGCAGACGGGAGAAACAAGGCCAGGATTGGTACAGAAAGCGCTTACCGCGATCTTGCGCCGTGAGTGGAAGTGCCATGCAGGGTTGCTGTCAAAGTGCCAATCGACTGTTGGCAGCCGTTCGTGATTAGTTGAGTTGAGTTCCGATCAGCACTTTACTGATTGATTGCTGATGCTAGCCAGCGAAAAACCTGAGAGGCACTGGGGTGTCCTCCTGACATTCTGGCGTGGGACAAAAAAACTAAACTGTTCTCGTGCTTTTTGCTGCGTTGGGTTTACGTTCAGCAATGTTTGCGCCAGTGCCAACACACTGGAATGGGGCAAGGCATTTTTACACCAAAGAATCTTTTCATTTTGTCAGATTCAAATTTTGATCATGCACCAAACGATGCATTTGAATCATTTGAAGAACAGCAAATGACTAATATGATGCTAATATGGGCTAACCCACCAAACAATTGCACATGCCAAAGCGGTTGAACTTTGCTTTGGAAAAAGGTTCAATAATAATTTAGAGGCTATGATGTTGCATTCACTTACTATTGACTCTTGATAATATGATGCAGTACTTAATTTAAGTGCTGGACCTTTTTCCAAACAAGGTTGGACTACACGCGCCAGGTAGCCCGGGATGATAGCCTTCAATTTGAAGGGAAAGTATGGGTATCCAGGGAAATGGTTGAATCATATTTTAGGTGAATTCGGACCCTTTGATGTCAACAATTGAACCCCATTTAGATGCGAATCAAACCCTATTTAGTGGAAATGTCAAGCCATCAATTTGATAATTTTAACCACTATTTTAGCACAAATTAAACCCTATTTTTCATAAAAGTTAAACCCTATTTTCAGCATAGTTAAACCATATTTTCATTCAAAGTTAAGCCATATTTTTGAAATAGTTAAGCCCTATTTTGGGAATATTTAAACCCTATTTATGTAATAAGTTAAGCCATATTTCTGATAGGTTAAACCCTATTTTTATAGGGTTTATCCCCCTTAAAGAGTTACTGTTTGAGGAAATGCCTAAACTATATATATATACTTTTGCCTTCCAAGGACGATGTTAAACTTGAACTTTCTGACGTTGTTGAAGTAAACATAACCTTTCCGTAAACAACGATATTAAGCCCTTATCAACCCTTGCTCACTTTGGATTCAAAATTTTGGTGGCCAGCACACTCAAGAACAAACTCTTTTTCATCAGCCAAATTTGCGTCCACCGTGATTCAGCAGCTTCGGGATTTCTCCATTTTTGAATTTTCAGCCGCATTCTGGCCGCCCCGGCAACTGGACATTCATGTCCCTTCTTGTTCTTTGATCGCCTCGCCCAACCTCAAAGCGAAGCGAGGCCCTATAGAAAGGATGTTTTTTTGGGCAGTTTCGCAACCCTTGGCGCAAGGGGCTGAAGCTGCAGCGGAGGGTTTCAGGGCGGGTGCCGACCCGACGTGCCGAACGGCAGTTTCGAAACCCTATAGAAAGGAGGTTTTGGGGCTGAAGCTGCAACAGTTTCGCAACCAAAGGAAGTTTGAAAGTCTAACTTCCGTGTTACGGATGGCAAATGGATGTGCAAAGGATGTCACAAAGCAAGGGGTGCCAAAGCAAAGGGATGCCAAAGAAAAGGAATGTAAAAGCCAAGAGATGTCAAAGCAAAGGGATGTTAAAGCAAAGGGATGTCAAAGCAAAGGGATGTCAAAGCAAAGGGATGTAAAAGCAAAGGGATGTCCAAGCAAAGGCATGTCAAAAGCAAAGGGGTGTTAAAGCAAAGGGACGTCAAAAACAAAGGGATGTCAAAGCAAAGGTATGCCAAAGAAAAGGGCTGTCAAAGCAAAGGGCTGTCGAAGCAAAGGGATGTCAAAGCAAAGGGAAGCCAAAGCAAAGGGGTGTCAAAACAAAGGGACGTCAAAAACAAAGGGCTGTCAAAGCAAAGGGATGTCAAAGCAAAGGGATGTCAAAGCAAAGGGAAGTCAAAGCAAAGGGATGTCAAAGCAAAGGGATGTCAAAGCAAAGGGATGTCCAAGCAAAGAGATGTCAGAGCAAAGGGATGTCAAAGCAAAGGGACGTCAAAAACAAAGGGATGTCAAAGCAAAGGGATGTCGAAGCAAAGGGATGTCAAAGCAAAGGGAAGCCAAAGCAAAGGGATGTCAAAACAAAGGGACGTCAAAAACAAAGGGCTGTCAAAGCAAAGGGATGTCAAAGCAAAGGGATGTCAAAGCAAAGGGAAGTCAAAGCAAAGGGATGTCAAAGCAAAGGGATGTCAAAGCAAAGGGATGTCCAAGCAAAGAGATGTCGAGAGCTTTGTTTTCACATCTTCAACTTTTAGAGTTTGAGGGAAGTCTCGCACGAAAGGCGTTTTTGAAAGTTAGCGGATGAACAAATGCTGTGTTTTGCAAGTCAAAACGTGCCTCGGATGATAGATGGGGAAGGTCTGCCACGCGACGGGTGCGAGACGGTCTCGGCTGTACAGGGATCATGGTCGGATCGGCCCCGCAGTGGAACTGACAGTTCAGGCTTCATTTTCACAACTTGGACTTTCAAAATTTGAGGGGGTCTCGCAGGAAAGCTTCGTTTTCACATCTTGAACTTTCACTTTTTGACGGAGGGCTGTTTATGTTTTTTTTTTTTTTCGCGGCAGGTTTTGGATTTTTTTTTTGGGTTTCCTGGTTCTATGCTTTCCTGTTTCTCTGATTTTCTGCTTTTCTGCTTTTCTGCTTCTCTGCTTTTCTGCTTCTCTGCAATCTGCTTCTCTGCTTTTCTGCTTCTCTGCTTTTCTGCTTCCCAGCTTTTCCTGCTTCTCTGCTTCTCTGCTTTTCTGCTTTGCTTTCCCTGCTTCTCTGCTTTTCCTGCTTCTCTGCTTTTCTGCTTTTTGCTTTTCCTGCTTGATTGCTTTTCTGCTTCTCTGTTTTCCCTGCTTCTCTGCTTTTGTACTTCTGCGCCTTTCTACTTCTACTATTCTATTTGTTCTTTTCTTCAGTCATGTGTTTTTGCTGCTCTACTTCCTGCTTCTTTGCTTCTTTGCTTCCTGTCTTTACTGTCTCTTTGTTTTTCATTTTCTTTTGCTTTATTCTGTTCTGTTTGTATCCTGAGTGAAACCCTAGAGAGACCCTAGGTGAAACCCAAAGAAACCCTAAAGAAATCCTGATAAGAAACCCTGCATGAAAAACTAAATGAACCCTAAAGAAACCATAAATGAAACCTGAAGAAACCATAAACTAATCCGCAGGAAACCGTACATGAAACCCTGAAGAAACTTTAAATGATACCTCAAATGGCATCCTAAAGAGACCCTAAACAATATTCTGAAAAAAGGAAACCTTAACTGACACCTTACCTGAAACCCTAAATTGACACCCTAAAGACACCCTAAATGAAACCTTAAAGAAACCCTAAATGAAACCGTAAAAACCTTAAAGAAACCTTAAAGGACACCCTAAATAAAACCCTAAAGGGGCCCTAGAGGAACCCACTTGAACGTTTTGAAATCGTGAAAAAATCCTGATAAGAAACCCTGGAATGAAACCCTAAAGAAAGCTTAAATGAATTCCTGAAGGAAACCCTAAATTGAAACCCTAAAGAAACCTTAAATGACACCCTGCAGAAACTCTAAATGAAACCCTAAAGAAACTTTAAATGAGACCCTAAATGAAACCCAAACTGAAACCCCAAATAAACCCTGGATGAAACCCCAAATAAAACCCTAAATGAAACCCTAAAGAAACCCTAAATCACACCCTGAATGAAGCCTTAAAGGAACCCTAAAGGAATCCACTTGAACGTTTTGAAATCGTGAAAAGAAATCCGGGTAAGAAACCCTGGAATGAAACCCTACAGAAAGCTTAAATGAACTCCTGAATGAAACCCTAAATTGAAACCCGAAATTGAAACCCTAAAGAAACTCCAAATGAAACCGTAAAGAAATTCTAAATGAAACCCTAAAGAAACTTTAAATGAGACCCTAAATGAAACCCAAACTGAAACCCTAAAGAAACCCTTACTGAAACCCTTAATGAAACCCCAAATGAAACCCCAAATGAAACCCTAAATGAAACCCTAAAGGAACCCTAAAGAAACCCACTTGAACGTTTAGAAATCGTGAAAAGAAATCCTGATAAGAAACCCTGAAATGAAACCCTAAAGAAAGATTAAATGAACCCCTGAATTGAAACCCCAAATGAAACCCTAAAGAAATTCTAAATGAAACCCTACAGAAACTTTAAATGAGACCCTAGAGAAGCCCGAAAGAAATTCCAAATGAAAGAAACCCCAAAGAAACCTTAAATGAGACCCTAATGAAACCCTAAAGGAACCCTAAACTTCTAGGCCTTGCGGCCCTTGTTCGCCAACACAGGTTGAAGCTGCATCGCACTTTTGCTTCCAAGGCACTGAACTAATAACCTAAAACCCTAAATTCCTTTAACCCCAAAAAGTGAAATGTATGGGACATGTATAGGCTATGATCAAGTGTAGTATCATGTTCACCCATGCAACAGACAGAAATCCCCTGACGTCGCAGAGCGCTCTTGAGCTGCTCAAAACAAGTTTGGTAGCGGAGCCTCCTCCGGGGGGCTCCATACCTTAGGCATCGCGCCTTGCTTGCTGGCTGCCGCCTCTTTCGAGGCTGCCTCGCACGCGGGGCGTTGCGCCTGGGGAGCTCTGCGATCCAGGACAACTTCACCTACCAGCTGGGCGCTGCTACATCCTTGCTGGCTCCTTCGGCATCTTCCTGGTTGCTCTGCTGACCATTGGCTTTTTGGGCTTCGTGATGATCGACCTGGACTTCGCCGACAACACCTTGGCCATCCCTGTGTACCTCTTGACCCTCCACTTTGCCTTTGACTTGGCTGGCTTGGTCATTGAGTATACCCTGGTGGACTTGCTTGCCTTTGACTTCGGTGGCATTGGCCCTGAACTACGCCCTGGTGATCTTCCTGGCACGCCACTTTGGCATTTGGTCTCTGTGTACCTCCTGGTGGTCCTCTCGGACAAGGGCGACGGCACGATGACCAGCCCACCTACGACGGGATCCATCCCTCTTCAGGAGTTCAGGAGAGACATTCCTCCAGGGTGGACTCCAGGGGACCCCGCCTACCCATTGCGCCTCTACTTCGACAAGTTGAAGCTCTGGTACCGCATCTGCAACTTGGATGACGAGATCATTGGGCCTCTCATTGCAGGCAGACTTTATGGCCGCGCTGCAAAGATAGCCCTGAACCTACGGGTACCTCGACCAGACGGTGGCTTCGACACCGGCGATGCTGCTCTCGCTCGCTTGAGCGTTGACGAGGTGAGAGATCCTCAGAGCGGCAACCTCATTCAGAGCCACATCCCATCAGGTGTCCAGTACCTGACCTCGGCATTGAAGGCCGCATTCGGTCAACAGGACCAAGACTTGGCGACTCAGGCTTTGGAGAAGTTCTTCAACATCTCCAGGAACAAGATGACCTTGGCCGAGTACAGCGTCGAGTTCGAGTCCAGACTGGATGAGGCGAGCGATCGCGCTGGCCTTCAGTTGAACGAGGTCGGAAGATTCTTCCTCTTCTTCAAGCACAGTGGCTTGAGTGCAAAGACCGTGGACGACATCAAGCTGCAGATTGGGGGCGACTACACGCGCTTTCAAGAAGCTCGTGCACTGGCCTTGAGATTGAGCCCCAATCGCAACGACGACACCACGGAGATCTTCTATGGCGACCACAACGAGGAGGAGAACTACGACCTGGACTATTGGTACGGCGACCACGATGATGATGATGGCTGGTGGCAGTACTATGATGCTGACGATGGCTGGCACGACTATGACGACTCAGCTGGCATCTGGTATGACATACTGGTATGACTGCTACGAGGATGACCAATGGTATGAGGACTATGGGGAAGCCTCCAACGAAGAGGTGCCGCAGATGCCAACCACCGACAAGAACGAGGAGAAGAACGAAGATGATGCAGCCTACTACAAGGGCAAAGGCAAGGACAATGACGGATGCTTCAACTGTGGATCGAAATGGCATCAGGTGAGAGATTGTCCTCTTGCACGAGATGGCAATGATGGCGGCAAAGGCAAGAACAACTACCAGAAGGGAAAAGGCTACAAGGGCAAAGGCAAAGGAAAGAGCTATGGCGGCAAGTCAAAAGGCTCCTGGGGCTGGCGTCCATACTACAAGGGAAAAGGCAAGAAGGGTAAGAGCTCGAAAGGCAAGGGCTATGGAAAGCGATCATGGTATGCATCCTCATCGAGTGCAACTACTTCCACCAACTTCAACGGCTATGGAGAGACCTACAAGAAGGACACTTCAAAAGGGCTCGACATTGGTGCAGGAGTTCCCAACTCAAACACCTCACTTCCAAAGCCTGACAACTCTCCCAAGGAGTACAACATCCATGGGCTTTCAGAGGATGAGGAGATCATCAAGCTTGGACGTGTGGATCGCACCAGATCGAGCTCTACCAGTGATGAGTTGGCGGAGGACGACAAGAAGGAGAAGAAGGACAAGAAGCATGCCACGGCTTTCTCCTCTGTCTCGAGCGTCTACGACAGCCACGAGTACTTTGTGGTTCGTGGCCAGAAGAGACAGGGATTGATTGTGGATCCTGGAGCTGCCTCCGGACTCATAGGGTCTGAAACCCTCAGGGAGCTTCTCAACAACTGCGTGGAGCCCTACGGCCTTGCAGACCAGGTGGAGATCAAGAAGGACAAGACTTCGCCAGTCAGTGGAATTTCTGGCATGTCTGACAGGACTTTGGGCCAGGTGACAATTCCACTGTTCACGAATGGCCAGAGCATTTCCTTCACAGGAGAAGTTCTTGGAGGTGAAGGCAGCCTGTGCCCTGCTCTCATTGGCAACCCTTCGCTGCGACGTATGAGCAGTGTCATCTTTTGCAACTACTTTGAAGATGGCGATGGCCTGCTCACCGTCGACATGGATGCCGACAACCACAACGACCAGGAGATTTCCAAGGTCAAGCTCTTCCGGCTTTTGCTGACGGAGTCAGGCCACTACCTGTTGCCGACAGATGAGCCGACCAAGCACAAGTTGCGCGATGGCATCAAGCAGGATGTGACGGCGTTCTTCAACAAGGTAGCAACACAAGCCACTCAGCTATGGCAAGATGTCTGCCCAAGAATGAAGCATTGCTTCCTTTCATCACGGCCCGCTCAGACGGAAGGCGACCGGGGTGAACAAGAGAAGTCATGCACCACTGCAACAGAGAACAACAAGAATGACCCTCCGCTGCAGACATCCTCCACTTCAACTTCCGATGCAGCTGATGGCAACACTGATGAGCGGAAAGAGAACGAGCAGGAAAAGAACGGCGCCAAGCACAGCAACTATGAAAATGTTTCACCTCAAGGCATTTTGCCTGGCGCGGATGCGCCCAGTGCTCAGTTGGAGCACCACGTACAGAACGACAAGGAGCTGACTAAGCCCTGCGACACTTTTGAGAAGGGATTTCAACAGTTTCACTCCGAGGATGACTTTCCGCAGTACAAGGAGGATCCTGCCGAATGACATGGACCAGGCAAAGCTCCGAAAGCGCTATCGCGCATCCCAGAGGAGTACTACTCCAAATCAGGTTTGAGGCCAATCACACCCAACAACTTCCAGAAATGGTTTTCTCGAGCCAAAGGACGTGGTCTCAAATGGCACTTCTGGGAAGTTTGCAGTGGCAGTGGGAGACTATCCCTCACCTTGCTGCTGGCCGGCTTGGTGATTGGATTTCCAGTGGATGCACGATATGGTTGGAATCTCCGCAACAGCAACCACCAACACATGCTTGACATGGCACGTCAAGAATTCCAACCTGGTGTCATCCATCACTCTCCAGATTGTGGACCATGGTCAGTCTCTGCCAACACCAAGGACCCCGAGACCAAGCATTGTGAACGACTTCAAGAACAACCATCCATTGCTTGGGTTCAACAATCATGTGAAGACCAAAGTTGTCATGATCGCGGCTACTTGGTGGAGCAGCCATGGGGATCAGCTATGTGGAGAGATGACAATGAGTCACCACTGCGACTTGATAAGATCCCAGAAAACAGAGCGAAGCAGAGATGTGACCAATGCATGCACGACCTCAGAGATGAGAAGGACATGTTCATCCAGAAGGCCACAGGCTTTGGTGCCAACTTCAAGCTGGTCAAGACGGCACTCCGATGCTCTGGACATCGTGGGAAGACCCACTCACATCTTCAAGGACAAGCACCCAATGGGCTCTCCCGAACAGCGATGGCAGCCGTCTATCCAAAGACTATGTGTCAACGGATGAAACAGGACATCATCAACTTCCTCCAGAAGAAGAACCTTCTCAAGATCAAGCTCTGGCCACAAGACCTATGCTGGTTCACATCTCCAAGCTTCTACGAATGTGTGCGATGCACACTTGGGCGAGCATGCCCCAAGGACATTGAGCACTCAATGATTCCTGGACAATGTCGACATGGCAAGTATGCAGCTGGCACCAATCCACGACTTCAGAAGCTTGAGGACAAGGACCCCATGAAACGATGGAAGGACAGTGCCAACAAGGAGTCCTACGAGCAAGTCATTGTGGACAACAACACTGGCCAAGAACTCACTGTCTCGGCATCCCACTACATCAAAAGACTGCTGATGGAGACGGTGCGCAATGCCCTTGGACTCTTTGGTGAAGCTGCATAACGACAAGTCGACTACGTCCACTGGATTGAGAACGCGGTGACGATGGCACTCTACAAGGAGATCTTCCAGGAGCACATGCAGGTGAAGGCCGTCAAAGTGGAACTACGGCCGTTCAACAAGACTCCATCAAACCCAAGAGTGGCATCATCAACCGCCTACCTGAGAATCCACATCACGGGCCATGTGAAGCACTGGACCATCCAACCCGTCGAAGACATGCGGGAGATGAGTGTCAACCAGATCAACGAAGCCATTGATGAAGAGAACTGGATGGTGACGATCTATGGACAAGAAGTTGGAGCAGTGCCTGCACCATCAACTCCATCATCAAGACCTCGCAAGATTCCTCCTCAACCTGGACTTCCACCACGGCAAGATGATGCTGAAGTTCTTGCACGGATCCAGGAGAAACCTGAAGACTCTGGAGTTCCAGCTATTGAGGATGCTATCTACGAGGAAGAGGAGTTTGCGGTTCAGGACAGAAAGGAGTTAGCTCCTATCAAGCCCAACTACAACCTGAGACGAGTTCTGGAGCGTCTTCCAAAGCTGGTGGAAAACGGCGACATCACCAAGGCAAAGCAGCTACTTCTTGGACTACATGAACGTCTCTGGCACACGCCAATAGCTGACTTCGAAAGCCTGCTGCGCCGTGCTGGCCAACCCACTGAGGTGATCAATTTGGCCAGAGAATCGGTGCTGTCTTGCCCGATATGTCGGAAGTACATCCGATTTCCAAATCGACCACAGCTGCGCTCCAGATGCATCACCCACTTCAATGACGTCATCCAGATTGACCTCTTCAAGTTCGACGACCTGTGGCACATGATCATGGTTGACGAAGCAACACGCTTCAAGCTTTGTGATGTCATAGAAGGACAAGATGCTGAACATCTTCTCAACTGCCTTCTACGAAACTGGATCCACATGTTTGGACCACCTGGAAAAGTCACCATGGATCAGCAGATGAGCCTGATGTCACACGAGACAGGTGCAGAGTTTGAACGTCTTGGTATGGAGAGATGCCCAAAGGGCACCACAGCTGGGCAAGGTGCAGAGCAGCACACAGGCACTGGACTAGTCGAAAGACACATCCAATTGCTCAAGCTCTCCATGTACAAGTTGAAGGCAGAGCTCAGCCGACAAGGACTAGTCCATGAACCACAAGACCTGTGCCGAGAATGCGCTATGGCGCACAACATCACCTTGAACTACAAGGGTGTGACACCCAGCATGGCCGTCTACGGCATCCTTCCTCGTGGCTTCTACGAGATCGACAGCGCTGGCATTTTGGCTTCATCTGGCCCAACGGAGACGGACGTGACGCCCTTTGAGAAGGCCATCCGCATCCGCCAGACAGCACTTGCTCAGACTCAACAAGCCATCATTGAGGACAGAGTTGCCCGAGCAAGCAGAACGAGACCACACCAGTTGGCTTTGGACGAGCTCACACCTGGCACCTCCGAGATTGAGTTTTGTCGTGAAGTTCAAGATGTTCAAGGAGATCCAGGTTGGCGTGGTCCGGCATTGCTCTTGAGGCTAGATGCTGATGAAGGCACTGCGGTGATCCAGTACCAGGGCAAGCCATACTTGGTGGCACTTCGGCACATACGCCCCTACCGTGGAATCTTCCACGTTGCCTTTCCAAGTGAAGACACCCAGACAGCACTGAACAGGCTGATGCGCTATGTTGAGAGCTTGGTGGACTACAAGATCTACACCTATGGATGGCTCCAACGACGAAATGGCGCATGGGTGAAGTTGCCCAAGGATGACTACCACATCAAGCAGGTGATGGCATGGGCAACTACAGTTTCAACATCGATGAGAAAGGCAACACTCCACGGCATCATGATGGGCAAGTCTCTCAAGACTTTCAAGCCTCCTCACAACACCACTGGAACATTGGTTGTTTGGCTTCGAGGCGGTGCCAACTTCTCCATCCAAGAGTGCCACAATGCGAACCATCTCAAAGCAAAGAAGTTCAGCACCTATGCCAAGGAGGAGATCTGCATTATCTACTTCTACTACTACAACCCCATCACTGAAGGCGAGAACGCCATTGAAGAGAAGCAGAAGCAGCCTCCCTCGACGCAGCTGAACGACGATGGTCAACAGCCAGCGGCCTCTATGGATGTGGACAAGGAGAACAAGAAAAGAGAAGGACCAGATTCCAGAACGGTGGTGATAGCACCAGAAAGAAAGAAGCAGAAAACATGCCTTGTGAGAAAGGAGCTGGAGTTTCTGAGGCACTGGTATCTTGAAAGCTCAAGGAAGCAGTTGGTCATCTATGACTATGCCGAAGACTGGAGGTACGGCTATGACATCATGACGGTGACCACAAGGAACTTCCTCCTTCACCACTACGAACGTGAACGAGCTCAGCTACCAGTGCTGTTCAACATCCAGTACAAGAAGCACCACACTGCCAGCGCATGTCTGCGCACAGCCAAGATCTTCAAGGTGGACGAAGAGACCCAGAACATCAACGAGGAGGACATCACTCCAGACATCTGGAAGAAGGTCGACGCTGCCGACCGTGATGCGCTCAAGCAGTTCATTGATGAAAAGGCCTTCAAGAAGATCCACCGGTCACAAATCACCTCTGACATGGTGACCACCGATGCACGATGGGTCCGAAAGTGGAAGAGAAACCCTGACCGCACCTACAAGATCAAATCGAGACTTTGTGCGAGGGGCTTCCTGGACAGCCAGAAGGATCAGCTGACCACAAGATCCACTACGGCAACAAGGTTGAGTCAGCGCATGCTTGTCAGCCAAGCCGCATGCGTGCCAGAACGCACTTTGGAGTCTTTGGACGTGGCAGGTGCTTTCCTCAAGGGCTTTACCTTTCAGGAGATCCAGAAGGCATTGAAAGAACTTGGCATTCATGCCCCAACAAGGGTGGTTGTGGTGTTCCCACCAATGAACGTGTTCCGACACCTTGCAGAGCTCAGCCCCGACTTTGCCATTGCAGAAGGACAAGAACACAACTACGGGCTGATCTGCGTGAAACCGGTGTACGGCCTCAACGATGCTCCATTGGCCTGGCAACTTTGCCTACATCAGTTTGTCAAGAGCACTGGTGGGAAGCGATCTCAACTTGATGAGAACTGGTTTTCATGGAAAGAAGATGGACGTTTGGTTGCTGCTGAAACGACGCACGTCGATGACATCGCCCTCACTGCTCCCATCAAATGGATGACAAACATGTACAACGCCTTTGTCAAGCGTTTTGGGCGTGTGACCCGTCTGCCATTCACCCATTGCGGCTGTGAATACACCAAGGTGAAGAACGGCTACAAGATCAGTCAACAAGAATTTGCCGAGAAGCTGAAGCCGGCTCCAATCCCCAAACGAGGAGATGAAGAGAGACTCACCAAGGAGGAGACATCAGACCTACGGTCGATTCTTGGAGCTCTTCTATGGCTTTCAGCAACGCGGCTGGACATCATTGCGGATCTGTCCATACTTCAAAGCCGTGTCACGGTGGCTGAAGTCAAGGACCTCAAGCAGGCGAACCAGATCTTGGACAAGGTCAATGAGTTCAAGGAGACAGGCCTCTACTACTGTCACTTCAAGGGGCAACATCAACGACTGATGTGCATCCACGATGCATCCTCGGCCAGCAAAGGCCGACACTATGCCCAAGAAGGAGTTCTGATTGGTCTGTCGGATGATGCTTTCCGCGACAAGACCATGAACCATGAGACTGTCTTCGATGACTACAACGTCAAGGAGCACAACGGCATCTTCCACGTGCTACACGCATCTGGTGGCAAAGCCAAAAGGGTGAGCTACTCAACGAGTCATGCTGAGACTCTATCAATGGTTGGAGGTCTTGAAGCCTCAACCCTCATCATGATCAGGCTCTCCGAGATCTACCACGTGGACAGGAGCCCGAGCCTGAAGCAGCTGATTTCCATCCAGGAGAGTGGCAACCCTGACTTGCCGATTGACTTCTACGGCGACTGCAAGGACCTATGGGAACTGGTGACAGGATTGAGAACCTTGCCACAAGACAAGGGACAACGCCTCTATGTGCTCGGCATCAAGGAGGCTAGACTGAATGGCAAGATGCGGCAGATCGTGCTGATTCCAACGGAATGCATGACCAGCGATGCACTGACCAAACCGCTGGTGCACAAGAACTTGCTGGAGGTGATGACAGCCGGCGTGGTGAGTTTTCACAATGTGGACAACCATCCGGTTACTGCCCGGATCCTGCCAACACTTCAGGAGTACTCCGAGCACGACATCATCAAGACCGACGACGAGATCTTGGAAGACGTGAAGAAGAACCCGGACAACGTCCGCATTGGACATGCGAGCATTTTGCTGGGCATGGTGGCGACTGGAAGCTTCACTATGAAGACGCTACTGGCTTCGACGATGATGAGCGCTGCGGCGGCCTATGACATTGAGTATGACGAGACCGAGGGGCGCTACATCCATAACGATGAGAAGGTTCAGGACAAGAGCTATGTTGGCGTCTACATCATGATCTTTGTCACCGTGCTCATCGCGATCAACCTGGACAAGATGATCAGCTACATCACCAAGAAGGCGACGGAGACCCACAACAAGAAGTTCGTGGTGAAGTCAGAACCAGAAGATGAAGATCAGCCGATGGATGTGGATGATCAGGTCGACGAGGACGACTTGGCACAACACTACCGAGTTCTTCGGAAACGAGTTCGCAAGCTGGAGATCGAGAATGACGAGCTCCAGGTGACAGCCAGAATCAAGCAAGACGCTGCAGATGGCTTCAAGGAACAGTATGAGGAGAAGTTCACTGAAGCAAAGAGCTGGGAGGACTACTCAGAGAAGGTCTGCCAGGACTTGGCACGCTTCAAGAGAGACCTGGAAGACACCAGACATGACCGCGACAACTACGCGAGTCGACTGAATGAGACGCTCGACCAGAGACAGCAGTTCCTCTCCGAGCGCAACGAGTACCATGAAAGGTATGAGGAGCTGCGCGAGAAGCACGACAAGCTGAT